CTGACGTGCTGGTAAATTCTTTCTCATTTTCGTTTGTATATTGATTCCCAGAGAATCTTCTCTTTGTTCCTTTTTTACCGGGACGATTCGAACTGCATTTGTTGCTTTTTCTGTCTTGAGGCATTTTAAAAAACACACGCACTGAGACGCCAAAAACGCAGGAGACACAAAATCTCACACGTGTTTCTCGTACGTTATAAACCTGATTTCACCAGTGTAATCCCTAATAGTTCAGTGTAAAAAAGCTCCATCTAACGCCAAAAATAGAAAACCTTAAGTGAAATCATAAACCCAAAGAAAGATCGATAAATGTACGAGGAATGTTCGGCGCTACGTACCTGTGCCGCGCGACGCTCGCTACCTGCTTTGACTCGGTCGGCTCGGAGGCTCATAACTTTTGAACCGTTACGAATTTCAATTTTTCCTTTTAACATGATATTCTAGACAGTTATAGCTATCGAATTCCGCAAAAAAAAATTTTGACCAAAATTTGACCCAACTGACGAGACTGTACCCTTAATCTTACATGTAGTGCTGAGCGAGTTAAAATCCAGCGAACAAGGCTTTACGCGAAAACGAGTTTTAAAGCGCAAGCAGGCTCGATAATTTCGCGTTTTTCGAGCGTGTACATTGTTATGCCGCGTTGTAAGAGTTAGCGCAAGATCTCACACACTGTGACGCGCTCATCTGTGTTAAGACGACAACACTAAACTATTTTAATCAAATTTGACTAATCCTTTTGTATTGGTTCTAACATTGATGCGTGACACAAATCCATTTGAGACCTGGTCTCCGCTGAAGAAAATCTGCTGGTGAAAATCGATACAGTCGGCAGACAAGTTCGGAGCTGTACGTGAGCGATAGCTCAAGTCGCCACGCGCCGCGATCTAACAGTGTATTAATTGACACTAAACAGAACGACAGAGCGCGTGAAATTTGTAATTAACGACTACAATAAGCTGTTAACTTAACAACACACACCACTTTCATTTATTGATTAATTGAATCCTCCGTACATTGTGTCCAGTGAAACTGGCATGCAAGCTAGTGAATCGGTACGCATTCGTCCGCTGAAGTGTTCCGTTAATTTATTCTTGCACAATTAAACAAAATATTGACTTACTTACAGCCGAAAATGTAGTCGTGTTTTTACAAATAAAAATGTTTCGTTTGGTCAGTGCGGATAGCTCGATCGCTTTAATAGCGGCCGCTGTAAAGCGACTGGTGGTACAGCAGACGCGAACGACAAACGCGAGATGATATCAGCATGAATTGTAGTCAATACTATTTGTTCAAGAACACAATTGTACAACAAAGAAACAAAATACACGAGAGACTTACGAGTCTCGAGAGCGAGGCCAACGCAGGTACACCGCATGCAGCTGGTGCACAACGTGAAATGTACTTTCACGTGTCAGCGGGACGTCCCAAAGACACGCGGAGCTCACTGAAACAGCTTTAGCCAAGGAAAAAAGGGGGTCGCAAGCAACCACACAGCAACAAGCAATCGTGCGAGATGAGCTCTCGACCGAGGCTGATTAGCTCAGCCCCCCATCCGGCTCGAAGAGATGAAGAATAGATTCTTCTGTTTCGCAGACGGCGCTTCAATTTTGCCCATATAAAACAACGTTTGGAACCAGTCGATCATCCTTCGCCAGTCGTGAATGATCGACACGTGCCCGCCCGCTATACTTGACACGAGCTATGTACGTGTCTCGCTCTCATAGCGAAACACGCGCATTTGCTTCTCGCGATATTGTGTACTAGCCAGAACAAAAGATATTATGCACATGTTACTTATAATGTTACTATATGTTACTTATCTAATCTTTTAATCACCAGTTTAAGAAATAAGTCATGTAAAAGACATTAACAGTTAAATGAAGAAATGAAAGAATTACTTTATTAATAAAAGTGTTAAATAAAATATTTAAGAATTTTGTAAGCGATTATCGAGTAATATAATTTTTTCCGCAATTAGCCTCCGCGCGGCACACCTACGACCCAACCTGGAGAAATATTATTTTTGCTGAGGGAGTCTGCGGTACCTAGGGCACATCATCGACGACCAAGATCTGCGAAGCGACTCCGAC